GCATCAAAACTTTCTCTCAATACCCACCCACATGCCATTCCTTAGGAAACGTTTGTCGTACATCCGGTTCCCAATAGACTACTTGTTCCACCGATAGCCCACCACTCCACGACCTACTGGTTTCTCCACCAGGCTGTCATTACATAATTCGGGGTCCCACTTAACTAAACATGTCCACGGCGACTGCTGTGAAGCATCGTGTTGAGAAACAACTTCACCACGAAAAAGATGACGGCAAATCAAAGACCCAAGCAGCCGTCGAGTTCGCGCTGCAAGCAGAACGGCTAGGGCAGTATACGCCAGAACAGGAGAATGAGACAACCGGCTCTACGCAGGCCATTGAAGCGCACTTTGTAACCCCGCAAGACCCTGTCATCGAGACTGCGGATGGGCACCGACTACCTGCCGTGCCCCTCGAGGAAGCAACAAAACTCAATGAGTTAAGAGACATTATCGAGGATAGCCATGTGACGCAACAAAAGCCCTTGTCACCACGGTTGCGAGAAGCAAAAGATGGAACCGTACATGGACTTCTGACCAAAGAAGCCGAGATGGAGGGCGAGGGCAAGTCTGACGTGCCTCTGGGAGATGCCAAAGCGCCTTGGAAAACGAATCCTCTATTTCCACCGTTACCCATGTACGGACCTCCCACGCTGCTGAGAAAGTGCCAGTGCTGGTTCTTCAGGTTCTCCTCTGGCATCCTATCATTTCTGTTTCTTCTCGTCATTATACTAGGGGCCGCATTCACATCTCTCCCAGGCATGGTGAAGCATTTATTCTTGGTGCTCACTTTTCGCGATCCAGAAAAGCGGCGTCTATTTTACAATGAGGAGGTCAAACGGAGGAAAGCCAGGAGAGAAGCAGAAGAGGCTTGGAGAAAGCAAGACAAGGCTATGCTGGAGAAAAGGCTAGAAAATGGGGACAAGCAAACGACGAGAGAATACGAACCTCTAGAAGGTGGCCGCGATCCTCTCGTCTGCGATGCTCGTTACTATGCACGACGGGTTGGCCTGGACTGCGAAGTCTTCGACGTGCAGACCGAGGATGGCTTCATCATTGAACTGTGGCATCTCTATAACCCTCGTGACTACAACCGCACAAATTCTGGTCAGCGCTCACCACACTCGCCCGAGCTCTTTCCTGGGGACAGAACTCGTGTTGCTGGCTCGCAATATGAACCAAGTGAAAAGAAGTATCCGGTGCTCATGATCCATGGTCTCCTGCAGTCGGCAGGTGCATACTGTACAAACGACGACGATAGTCTTGCATTCTTCCTTGCCAAATCTGGTTACGACGTCTGGCTGGGCAATAACAGATGCGGATTCAAGCCTAGACATTCAACGTTGGACTATAGCGATCCTCGCATGTGGGCATGGAACATTCGGCAGATGGGAGTGATGGACTTGCCTGCTCTCATCTCACGTGTGTTGTCGGAAACTGGATTTGAGAAGCTAGGCCTCATCGCACATAGTCAGGGCACGACGCAAACCCTCGTCGCGCTTGCTAAGGAACAGCGCCCTGAGATCAGCGAGAAGGTTAGCGTCTTCTGCGCTCTAGCTCCTGCCGCGTATGCTGGTCGTCTCATCGACAAGGCACAATTCAAGTTCATGCAGGTCATCAGTCCAAACATGTTCCGGACCGTTTTTGGCATTCACTCCTTCATCCCCTTCATGATGACGATGCACAGTCTTCTTCCAGGCAAATTGTATGGCGCAATGGGATATCGAGTGTTTTCCTTTTTGTTCAACTGGACGGATGCTCGCTGGGAGCGTGATCTGAGGGACCGGCTTTTCCAGTTCTCCCCAGTCTACGTCAGTGCAGAGAGCATGCGTTGGTGGCTTGGACGGGAATGTTTTGCAAGGCAAAAGTGCATCTTAGCTACAAGAGAAGAAAAAACAATCGAGGACAGGGAAGATGAAGAGCGCGAACGCAAGAAGTCAGGTGCGAGCGTGCAAGTGCGAGATGGTGATGACGACGAAGGGAATGCTGATGAGAGCGAAGAGGACAGGAAGGCTGCTGAGCGCTACGCTTGGTACGGGCCCGGAACACCTCCTTTTGCGCTATGGGTATGCGGCGCCGACGATCTTGTCGATGGGCACCGGCTTCTTCGTCGGTTCGAACGCGGTCGCGAGCCTCATGTCGACGTGGTGCACTCCAAGGTCATTGAAGGATACGAACACTTGGACGTCATCTGGGCTATGGATGCAATTGAGAAGGTTGGCAAAGAGGTACGGGAGGTGATATGGAAGACGGCATCCGAGGACGCGCGCAGGGTATGCCGGACGCCAAAGGGGTGTGAGGACATGAAGGCGTTTTATGAGAAGAGCCATACCAATTAGCATACACATAGACGAGATATCCCTGGGTTGGTTTTTTGTACATGAAGACAGCACAACTAGTTATAGAATGCGTTAATTTAATGGGAGGTTTATTAGATAATAGTTATTTGTACAAGACTAATGCATAAAGCATATCTGTTATGCCAGGGCGTACCTGAGCGTGCACCAGTGCCCCCCCCCCCGACTGTGCTGCTGGCGTTGTGCGTGGTTGGCGTGGACGATTGGGGCAAAGTGGCTCGTCGCGTAAACAAAGGGCCCCTGCATCCGACCCCACCAAACTACGACCAACGCGGCGCTTCTCACCGCCTGAACCCAGAACACTTCTACCCTCCAGCCTCGACGCCGGAACCCTGACGTCCCTTTCGACAGTCTGTTTGACACAGAAATCCATCCACCATGCGAGGAGAGGTATGTCTGCCTGCATTGGCCTTTGGATAGCCATGCATGCCCGCCCACACACGACACACCAACCTGGCACCCCCTCACTTCGCCGCAACAAAGGCATATTACTACTTGTACTATAGGCTAACATTATGCTTCATAGATCTGCCACCTTCACATTGGCCAAGCTGGAACCCAGCTGGGCAACAGCGCCTGGGAGCTGTATGTGACTACACCCGCTACGCGCGCCCCCCGAACTGCCTGTTCCATCACTGACACCATGGCCTCAGTTACCTCCTCGAGCACGGCCTGTTGCCTGATGGTCGCCCCAACCCCGACGCGAAGGAACTTGGCGAGAATGGTTCTTACGAGACCTTCTTCACCGAGACCGGCAGCGGCAAATACGTCCCCCGTTCCATCTTCGTCGACTTGGACCCCTCTGTACGTGGATACCATGCCGCACAATCGAACAACGCTGACGGTAACAGCCCATCGACGAGATCCGAACTGGCGCCTACCGCCAATTGTTCCACCCCGAGCTGTTGATCAGCGGCAAGGAGGATGCTGCCAACAACTGTGCGTATAGGAAAGCGTTTCGGGCATGCAGCGTCACTAACGACAGCAGATGCTCGTGGCCACTACACTATTGGCAAGGAGATGGTCGACAGCGTGATTGAGAAGATCCGTCGCGTTGCTGGTGAGCACCATCATCATCGCCAACCAGTCCCACTTGCTGACACGACCAGACAACTGCTCTTCCCTTCAGGGTTTCCTCATCTTCCACTCTTTCGGTGGTGGTACTGGTTCTGGATTCGGTGCTCTCCTGCTCGAGCGCCTCTCGACCGACTACGGCAAGAAGTGCAAGCTCGAATTCGCCGTCTACCCTGCTCCTCGCGTCTCCACCTCCGTTGTCGAGCCCTACAACGCCGTTCTCTCAACACACAGCACCATTGAGAACTCCGACTGCACGTTCCTCGTCGACAACGAGGCTGTCTACGACATCTGCCGACGCAGCTTGGACATTCCCCGCCCCAACTACGAGCACCTCAACCGCCTGATTGCTCAGGTCGTCAGCTCCATCACCTCCAGTCTGCGTTTCGATGGTGCACTCAACGTTGACCTGAACGAGTTCCAAACCAACTTGGTCCCATACCCCCGTATCCACTACCCCCTCATCAGTTACGCTCCTGTCATTTCGGCCAAGAAGAGCTCCCACGAGAGCTTCAAGGTTTCTGACCTTACCTTCCAATGTACGTTCTTTTTTTCTCAACCACTATGCATATGCGCCTTGCTAATCTGAACAGGCTTCGAGCCCAACAACCAGATGGTTGTCTGTGACCCGCGCAACGGAAAGTACATGGCAGTCGCCCTTCTGTACCGTGGTGACATCGTTCCCCGCGACTGCTCGGCTGCCGCCGGTGCTCTCAAGGCCAAATCGTCCTTCAACTTGGTTGAGTGGTGTCCTACTGGTTTCAAGCTCGGAATCAACTACACCAAGTATGTTTTTTGCCCTTCATTTTGATCCACCACCACTAACAAGATACAGGCCCATCAGCGTTCCCGGAAGCGAACTTGCCGCTGTCGACCGAAGTGTTGCCATGCTTAGCAACACTACTGCCATTGCCGAGGCCTGGTCTCGTCTTGACCACAAGTTTGATCTCATGTACTCGAAGCGTGCTTTCGTTCATTGGTACGTTGGTGAGGGTATGGAGGAAGGAGAGTTCTCCGAGGCTCGTGAGGATCTGGCTGCGTTGGAGAAGGATTACGAAGAGGTTGCCAACGACTCTCTCGATGACGAGGGTGTTGAGGAGGGCGAGTACTAAATTTTGTCAAATATGCATGTGGAGTGATGCAGTGGAGAGATTACTAAGCGTATGTGCTGGGTTCAGCAAAAGACTTCTGGATGCTGCAGTGTTGATCGCGATTTTCCACAGGTGAATCGAGGTCTTGCGTTGATGATCTCTGTGGCTGATCATTATTTAATTCGTTTCTTCTAAATATCTTGTTGTGACAGAGTCCAAGTCAAATCTGGTGGACATGTAGTCAGTTTGTTCAACACGCTAGTTAGAATCTAATTAGTACAATTGCTTCACACATGATCACAATGCACCAGAAAGATGACAAGTCCAATAGCAATCCAAAATCTATGGGTTATCTTCCAGCAATACCAGTCCATTAGACAGGAAATGGAAGATGGTATAACGATAAAAAAAGCCTGGCGCGCTGCCTGTTTTGGCTCTACTAAACAACTAATACCAACGCTTAATGCCTTTCTCAATTCCCCCCCCCCCCCAATGGTCATTTTTTGTCAAACGACCAGCTTCTTCTTTCTTGTTTCCCCTTCAATGAATTCCCTGCTCAAACCAGTAAGAGGTAGAATAAGACAATCTAATATGATATAAATTTCGCAATCTCGTCCGAGAAAGGAATGAAAGGTTGTTGAATGTGTGAATGTACAAGAAAAGAAAAAAAGAACAGAAAAAAAAGTGATATCCTCTCTATTTCCTCTCTCCCCGGGATTTCGGGAAAAGGAGAAGCGGATAAACAAGGGGCTCAATGGAACCGTCTCATTTCAAACCCGTCAGTGTGCGACCTCGCGGGTGGACTAAACGTGCGTTCTGAATCCGCGGTGCTAGGTGGGAGCGCACCCGATACACCAGGTGCATCTATGCTATGTACGGGCCGCAAGTTTGTTTCCGATAGGGACGCAGCGTCACGCACGGCGGCTGAAGAAACGAGACCGGATCGTGGATCGAGCGTGTTAGTGCGAGGCGGGGTATCGTAGTCGGTTGCTTCAGGGATATCAGCCATGGCGGCTTCCTCGTCGTTGCCGTGGCGGTTGCGGGAGAAGAAGCGGTTGCGATGGGTACGCTCGCGCATGGTGGACGAGGCGTTTGTGCCTACGCGCTGGAGACTGGTGCTGCGGCCGCTTTCTTGGGAGCCGCGGCCATTGCGCTCGAGGCTGTGGCCGGGGGAGGTGACGCGCACGACGGTGGCGCGGGTGCGGGATTCCATTTCGCGGTCTTCGAGGACGTCGCCGCTGGGGTCGTCGAGGCCAATGGATTTCATGCCCAGGGAGAAGTCGACGCGGCGGCCCATTGCTGAGAGCGTTTCGGGGGCTGTTCGTGTACCGGGTTGACGGAGGATGGAGCCGTGGCGGGTGGGACCGGTGCCGGCAGATGTAGGAGGGACGTTGTCAGTAGCGCTTCCTGGGGCTGGTGCTACAAAAGGCTGGTCCTGAGGCTCGTTGTGAATGTGGCCGTTGGGCTGATCGGGTGTGCCATTGATGCCAACACCAGGCGTAGCAGGGTTTTGCAGGTTTTGAAGATAGACGGGGAACGATTCCTTTTGACCGGGGTAGCGCATGCGGGGGCCTTCGATTTCGCATTCCTGGATAGCCATGGTAAGTGCACAGATGAACTTGTTGCGACGCTGCAACCTGAGCAATTCGTTTTGCCAGTTAGACTTGTAAAAGAAGACGACGTTGAGTTCGAGCCAGTGGACCTCCTGGACAGCGCGGAGTTCAGTAAGGATGTTGGTCTGGTATTCACGCTTCTCAGATGTGACGAATTCGAGGAGGACGTTGCGGAGACGCTCAATCTGCTCCAAGGTCGTACCAAACTTGATGATGATAGGAATAGCTTCGGCGAGAGCTCCAGAACGACGGTGATTAAGGATAAAGAGAGTGTTGAGGTAGCTGTTGGGTGCCTGAACAATATGACCTTGCATCTTCTTGAACTCCGTGTAGAAGAGGGCGATTTCCTTGACAAAATAGTCGTCACCGCGACCGAGATCACCCGTGTTACCGTAGACAGTGACACGGTCACCAACATCGTAAGGGTGCTTGACGAAGACGAAGATGCACGACTGTAGGAACTCCTGAGCGGTAGCGGAAAAGAGCCAGGACAACGCGAGAAGAGCCGAACCAGCAGACGTAAGTACACCGGCAGCCGAAGTCGAAAGGAGCGAGATGAAGACAATAATGGTGATGATGACCACAATGAAGACGAAGACATCGTCCAGCTTGGAGACAACACTATCGAGATCCTTGAGAGAAGCAGTGATGGACTTGCGCTCACGGCCAATCTCTACACAGACAGCCTCGAGTTCTTCCATTGAAATGTCACCGTTCATGTCCTTATCAAACATGGAAAATGCGGCCGTAGCCTCCTCGTCGCTGTCAAAGGCATTGTTGAGATCCTCGGAGTGTACAGTTTCAGTTTCGGGTCGTGCAAAGGTGCGGTACAAGCGGCGTGCCAGTACCTGGGCGCCACTTGTGGTACTAATGAGCTGCAGTACAACCTGGTGGGGATGGCCGCTGCTGGTCACCTGGCGACCAGTGAAGTCTCCAGCAACCTTTCCAGCAATGTCACCAAACTTGCTGAAGCCAACCTTGATGTTCTTCTGAGCTTCGGTCAACACTTGACCAGGGGTACGGGCGCCAGATTTCTGGGTTTCCTCGCTCTGCTCGAACTCCGAATCTTCCATAGTAATCTTCTCCTTTGAGAATCTGTACAGCTTGGTAAGACTGCCAATTTGGAACTTGTTCAGTTCAATCCTGTCCTGGTAGGTTCGGAGATGGAAGCTGATGGCAATGAGCTGGATAATGATCTTCTCGATGAAGTTGAGAACGAAGCCGATAAAGAAAGACACGAGCACTTTGTTCATGTCGCGTTCCCAGTCTTTGGTTGTCTTGTTTCCGTCGAGATGGTGGTTGGTCATAGTCGGGAGAAAAGATATTTCAATGGCCAGCCACCAGAAGAAGAGAGTGGCAGGCAGTTCAAGCTGCTTGCCCATGTCCCTCCATTTCTTGCTGTTATTGGTGAAGAGACTTGATACAAGGCCAATTGGCCAGGGAAGTAACTTAGCAAGGACCTGCAATAGATGTTAGCATATGGTGATGCGATGGATGCAGAATTAACCTTACTCTGCCAGCCCACAGTGTCAACCAAACAATCATAAGCCATATAGAGAACCAAACCAGCTTAACCCCACCCACAGTAGCCTCTTTGAAGGCAAACGCTCCAACGAGTAGAGGGATCAGAATCAGTAGCACCATGGGCGTGATGTAGGTAAAGTAGCGGACAAGCCATGACGAGTTGTGAACCTTTTTGAAGAACTTGGAGAAGCTGGTGGTGGGGTTCTCTGGTGGCTTGTAGCGAGCAGCCTGCTCGTGCAATGGATTTGTGGCCGCATCAAAGTCGTCGACAAGGTTGTCGCGGCGAGATCGCACCCGTGTCATGGACCGGGTCGTGGACTGATTCCGCATGAGGGCTTCTTTCTCGTCGAGGCCTTGCTCGATTGCAAGCACAGCGAGGTCATCGTTGAGCCTGCTCGCTTGCTCACGGGTTTGTGTAGGCGATTGCACGTCCCTCATGGATATCATGTCTGGTTCAGTGTCAACAGTAAGGTGTGCGCCAGACTGCGATCGGTTATGTAACGGTCGTGCGTTATTATTCAGGTGCGGGTGGTGGTGGTCGTCCCCAAAAACCGTGCCGTCTTCGTCGGAAGACCGCTGGTGACCGTATTGTGTGTTGTTGTCCATGTTGTATGTCGGCTCAGGCCGCTCGACATTTGGGGTCGTCATGGCGAATAAACACAGTTGGACCCGTAGACGTCGTGGATGATGATCGGCGCGCGATAGGAGACCGCGGTAGCCCTTGTTAAAGAGATCAGGGTAATATGGCAGCTCACGTCAGGCACTGAAACGAGCGTTTACTTTTTTCTTTCGGGGTACAAGGGCAATCAATGGCTTGGAGTTGCTATTCGGCTGGTCCTAGGTGAAAGGGTGAACTAGTGAAACCGAGTGGTGTGACGTCAGGAGCGTGTCTCGTTAGTGATTCTAGCGAGTGACTGAGGTGAATTGAACAGCGTGCTGCACAGATCAGTTGAGAGTGGGAGCGAAGGAGAATAAATTCAAGAGAAGCAGGGTAGGACAACGGGTGGCAGCAGCGTGTGTATGTATCCTTCGGGTGGAGCTCGCCTTGGGGTTAAAGGAGCAGCGAGGCAGCGCTGGGGCAGCGATTATTTTTGGGGACATAGCGATCTCTGCTTGCTTAGCATTCCAATGCCAACCTTGTGGTGGGCAGGAAAACTGGGTCGCAAAGGGTCGGCGGACGTGTGCGTGGCCATGGCAAAGTCGCCGGTGGGTCTCACGGTACCGTCTAGAATGTCTGTTGGGACGGGGCTCTGGGAATGAAAGGGTCTGCAAAGACAACGGTGCACCAACCAGACATGGGCCAAGGGCTCGATAGCCTTCGCCTCGGTGCACCAAGACGCCGTCATCCTGTGCCTTTTGCAAGTGCAAACACGGCATTCTTCTTTGACATCCGTCGTCGTCCGCGCCGTTGGGGCCTGCGCGACGCTCCCACGTAGCGCCCGCCACCGACGTCACCCAGCATCCGTATGCAGGTCCTGCCCATTGCTTTAGTTACTCTTTTTTTGTGTACAAAATTTCTTCGCCTTAGTTTGATCTAGAGTAGGGTAGACACTGCGCGCAAGTAGCTGATGACGTTTCCTGAGAAGCTAGCACAGCTCCTTTCCATGTCTAATCGGCCATTCCGCTTGACCCTGCCTGGTTCAAAGGCAAATTCTCCAAGCCTTTTCTTATCTTTGATTTGAGGGACGCGCTGCTTATCGTGCGAACGAGTTTCAGAGAAAAAGCCGCCAGTTTACACAAAAAGCTTGTTGCGTGCCGATCCTAATCCCGCCCCCTGCATAGCCAAGGCTTCCTAGCGATGGCGTCGTGGGGTGCTCCTTCAAGATCGATGTCCCCAACTCCAGCAAAAGGATCGCATTCTCCAGTTTCGCGGACCCGCTGAAGTCTCTTCCTTCTCCATCTTTCTGACCCAGAGACGTTCTGGCCATGGGCAACGGGGTTCGCCTTCCCTGTGCCGCCTGCACCCAACTTACTCATGGCTGCTGCCAATACCAACACTAGAATTCTCCCCTACACGTCGATCACCAAATTTACGGACGAGTGGAACCCTCGACACCGCATCCGTCCATCTTTCAATGCTCAAGCCCGACGAGGCGACGTGTCCTCGCAGCACAAACACTAAGCGATACGTCGTAGAGATCCGTGGTGGAGGCCGTATGCCCGGATCGTACAATCCACCGATTCCATGACCCCAACTGTGGGTCACTCTCGCTGAATTGTGTCATACCCCGTATAAACCAAAAGATAATCTTCGTCATTTTGAGCTACCCAACCCAATGCCGAGGGTCAAGGTCAACTGGTGTAGTCCCTGATTCTGTGGTATGTATGCTGTCTCCGCATCTTTGGTGTGGAGTTGTATACATGAGTTGTTTTTCCTCTCGTATAAAGTAGGCGCGCAAACTGCAACCTCATGGTGACACCCCTTGCAATTCGACATCCAACTAGTAATCGAGGCAAGAGCATCATAGAGTCGAAAGAACGAATTATACATGGCACGCCTTCTCTTTAGCTTCTCAGACGGTCTCTGAGCTGTCTAGTCTGGAAGTATTCTGCCGTTGGAATGATGTCTAGCACGACTTGGCACGAAGATGTCGTAAGTTGTGCAATGACGCTGACGCGCTAAGGACTCGTGTCGCCTCATTCGCACTCTACTCCAACTAGTTCCCAGCTGGAAACTTTGATGGAGTTTTATCTTCTCTGCACTTTTGCATGTACAGTTAGATATGCTGTGCATCGCATAGCACTGCGCGGCTTGCAGAAAGAACAGGTCCCGGTATCCCGCATTGGGCCTGGCGCCTTGGCGTCGATATCCGTACTCTCAGTGGAGTTTGAAAAGATGAAAGGACTCATGAAATTCATGATTCAAGGTTGCTGCTGAAAATGATACAGCATCACTAAACGCCCCCATCACGTTTTGATAATCGTTCGTTCCATCGCCCTTCGTCCCGTGCTCAGTTCCAAGCTTGCTGCTGCAATCAAACTGCCCGAGAGCTTGCTTGATGGTCTCAATAACAGCCTGTCCACCAGCCGTGAAGTTAGTGTTTCTTCAAAGATCAAAAGCATACTTGACAGAAAATGACAACCACCTGGTAAAGAAATTCCTTTAGCGCTCATAGCCGTTCTGAGGCTCTACAGGTGACACGTGAACGCTAACCCCCATGCCGCTTGTCGGGGCCGAGTCGTTTATTGGTCATGCAGATACTATTAAAATCGACCTACTATCCGCTTTGAACGCCTACCGCGAATAAAAGTTGACAAGTCCAATTTACATATCCTTGGATCTTCGCCATGCAAGCAGATGGTACAACGAAACAAGGGCAAACTCTTCTGTGACAACCACATTTTTGTTGTACAATTTTTCTCCTTTCTTCCTCCCTTTGAACCTACTGCTTCTCCGGCTAGCCCGTTTTTGCCTCGTCTTCAGCCGTACCAAAGCCTCCCCAACCCTCGAATTCGTCCGCAAACTTGACTGCCGCGTTAAGCCAATGGCTTGATGCATTGTCTGAGGCACCCCATGTCTCTTCTGCCACCTTCAGAGCCCGCAATGCTTGGTTTTATCAGTCGAAATACAACATGAGTTGATGGATGTTATGACTTGCCTTTCACGTAGTGCGCGTCTTTCGCATGGGGGCCATTCAGTGCCTTATCCACAACATGTTTCCAACTCTTTTTACTATCTTCACCCGGAATTGCTTTGTCCATATCAATCACTGGCCGGGTCTGAGCAATGTACACTGCAAGTGCAAATAGCCACCATTGTCGCAGTAGGCTCACATGGAACTTTGCTGGGACCAAAGGAAGCAAGATTCGAACGGCATGTGAGCTTGTGAGCACATGAACAATGAAAAAGTCATACTTGCCATGAGAAAGAGCTGGTGTGCCCACCAAAAGCCCCATGCCTACTTCCTGAGCGGCACGGAATTGTTCAGTTGGACTGGTGATATCCCAAGCATTCCAGTATTCTAAGAGTGCTTCTTCTTGCTCTTCCAACACCTTTGTGATGTCTCCACTCCTATCATCATACAAACCATCGAAGCGACTATCTTGGCGCACCTTGTCTAGTAAACCGATCAGGCCAGACTGAGCGCCAGTCGCGCTATGAGGGCTAGGCTTGGTGTATTTCGGGTCATCAACGTATTTGTGCAGGGAGCTGTAGCAGCAAGAGCCCATCGCCAAAGCCTCAATCGCCACGGTTTTAGAGTTTAGCTCATATGCGTATCCAAGGTGGATAAGGGGATGTGCGACTATATGGTTTAGTAAAATATTGTTAGTTGTGGGCGTTGAACGTACGTCCAGAGATCATGCCGTTGATCAATGGTTCCTTTCCTTCGAACAAAAACTCTTCGAGGACTTGCTCGACGCTATACTTTTTGGTCACGAGCTGGTCCTCGAAGAAATCGATAAAGGCACGTTGGTACCTGGTCATAGAGTCAGCAGTCGACCCTCATTTCAGAACAGCACTGTGACAACTGGCAACGTACTCTGGTTTTCCCAAGAAGTCGCGCCAATCATCTTTGGTGATTTCGCCCGGCGCATCCTGCCAGGGCTCCAATTCTTCGGCTTCCTTTTCGTAGATGTCGTTTAGATGCTCGGCAGTGCCTCCAAGAAGGTAAGCTGATCCTAGGATCTACGCGAGATGCTTAGCAGCCACAGGCTTTGTTGGGTGAGCAGCATACGTGCGGTGCATGGTTATGGAATATGAGATTGTGATATAAGATTCCGTAGTTGGCATGATTTGCCTTGAGAAGATGTTTGAGGGTCCGCGGTCGCTTCTCGGCGGCTGTTTCGATATCATGGATTTCCACCGAGGGTAGGTTGACAGTGAGATACGAACCCTCTCCGCCGCGAAGGAAAGAGGGTAGCGATATTCTCGGTAGGCTGAACATTTTGCGCGGTGGTGTCGGATGATGCAAGAGGAGGTTTGCGGGGAAGGAGGGCAAGGAGGAACTCGCGTCGCGCCTTCCTCAATACGGTATGACGTGATGTGTTCAGTGCTGCTTGCAAGGTCTACCGCCATCGGTGTTAGTGTCGGACCACCAGCGCCGCATCCGAGAGCCTTGTCCTGTCTCCAACCCACGTCTAACCTTCAACGAGCTGCCTGTTCCATACTCCTACGCCTTGGCCGCCCCGTCATGCCACACGCCTGCAAAGGGCGGTTTCAAGTCCATTACTCCATCGGGCAGTTTCCTGCATGTGTCGATCTCTGCGACCTTTTTCAGTGAAGGCTAGACTCCTGCAAAACTCTAGGCCCGCACTTATTTCTCACGTGTTGCTCCATCCTCACTCACCAACTCGGTCTTCTGCTCCGTCGTGTCTTTTTGCACATGCTTGATTGGGTAGGAAAGCTAGAGTGTCGATTGCAGCAGCATTTTGGGGGAAATACTAGTTTCATCCTAGGCACCGATTTGCTAATACTTACGTGCCCGTTTTAGTTCACCAGACGCCCACAGTCATCAAAAAACCCAGATTCTACCTATACAGGTACTCTCGTTATCCTTGCAAAGTCGAATTTGCCTTGACACTCCCACTGCGCCCTGAACTCTATCTAGTAAGGATAGAATAATATATCGTAATATGGTCAGATACCTCAGCATAGTCAGCCACTCATGGCCGCAGTTACCCGCCAATCGGCGTTCGATCTCAAATTCTACCCCTTGTTCCTCACTACATGCCGTCCAATGTCCCAACACGAGTACCCAACGCGAAGCAGCGAGCCCGCCCTTCAGGTTGAAGCGAGTCACTTCTCACACGTCGCACACTTGCAGAGCTACCTCCGATTGTTGGAAGCATCATCACGTGTGGGAGAAGACAATGGCCGTGCAATGGGCCTACCAGTTGTCTGCAGTTCTCAGGATATAACTGATGGGTTTGGGGCTCCACTCTAAGTTGTCAGGTCCGATCTAGGTGTTACAGCCGTCCGTTCGTGACCAGGAATCCACCACAACTTCGTCATTCGGCATTCTTTGTCAAAGATCGAATTCGGATGACGTAAGGATATCTGCCAGATTATTTGTTCACTAAACGATTCACAATGA